TGGGGGTAAAGTTCCACTTTAACACTTGCAGTGCGGATGAGCTCTTTAAAAGGATGAGGCCAGTTTCAGCCACAGAAGGAGTGCATTGTTTTCAATGAGCCAGCCAACTCAGACTTGAATTGAGAGGAGCAGTAAAGTGAGATTATTGCGTAGCACTGGCAGGAAGAAAACATGTGCCTGCGATGAGTGACTATGGCCCCCGTCCCCAACCGTACATCTATAATTACAAACTATACAGAAACCATTTTTTTTTATAAGACAAGACACATTGATGACATCCAAGTTGATATATTTTGAAAGACTTAACATTCCCTTTAAACAACAACGAATATCTCTTACACAAAGCCGTGCACAGCTGATAGGAAAGTCAAACTTGGGGTTTCACACAAAATGCAGCGATTACATGTCTCATGTATGATACCACAACGGTTTTGTCATCTTGAAAGTTAACTTTGGCCGCTGAGGAAATGAGTCACCCACCACTGAAAGCAGAAGACCTGTTGTTGAGCTCCTGCTCTATGGGTTAGCTGCAGAGAAGCCGACCTGTAGTTGCCATTATCAGCGCCATCCAGGGAGGAGAGAGAATACTCTTCTGAAATGTGTTAAAAGAAAACTTTTTTTTTTTTTTTTAAATAAGGTCCCAATCACACCTGAGTAGTTTATTGACCGACTCCCGAGCAACAAACAAGATGACGAATCCCATTCTCAATGGACCTGTTCACACCTGAACGTTGAATTGGTTGTTGTCCAAAGCTGGAAAAGTACACGAGCATCTTTTTTGGCCAGAATCATGCATTATTGGGCAAATAGACTTTAATAGGAGCGCCAGAAAAATGCTTGAAAAACATGTGTTTATGGACTTTTTTCACGCGCTCGAGTCATTACACGCCGCCTGGCTTCCTGAATGGGACTTCCGGCGCTCTGTATTCGGTATCGGCGAGTACCGAACAAAAAAATATCGGTACTCGATACCGAAATACCGGTGGATCCCTAGTTTAATTCAATATAGCCATGGAGGCAGCCATTACATAATCGTGCTGTGCTTCCAGCTTAGTATTGCAGCACAGTGGTTGTACTTTACTGCTCTTCCTTCTATGGATTAATCAACTAAGGTGGACTGAAAACAAGGAACTTTCTACCTGGCCAGTTCTGTAATCAATGTTCATCTAAGAAGCTGTTCAGCAGGGATGCTGAATATGGTGCAATATACTGGCAGCCACTAGAGGGAGCATTGATAAATCTTCAAATGGTATTGTTACATTAGTAACACAAAAATGTGTACTCAAAGTATTATAGTATCTACAGACACAATATCAGGACATATGGATGTGCAATAGTACTATGAATTACATAATTAAAGCATACACATTTATCTTTTTTAATCTAAGAAAATGTAATGCTCAATTAAATCCTGTTTAAATGTAAAAGGGTAACTCCAGTCTAAAAAATGAAAATGCTAATTGTACCTATCGGTATATATCATTCTTTTATGGTGCTTTGCAGGCGATCAGGAACATAAGAAATAGATAATCCGCGCTTCTGGAAAGGAGACTAAAGTGGAAATGTATAATAAATTAAGACCTAAAGCAGCTCTAAAAAGAGGATAGAAGAATCCTATCAACAGTCGAGAAAAATATATATCAAAGCGCTAAAGGTGTAACTAATATGAAACTTAGTATAACCAAGTGATATAGTGAAATTTTAGGTTTAGGCGGTCTAGCCTTTTTTTAATATATATTTTTGGCACGGATCGTTTACATATTGTGACCTATTCGAGGTCTTTACACAGTGGTTGAAATTTTTTATTGTCCCAATCATTTTCTGTTTTTCCACAGCACTATTGTACTATTAATTTTATTTTTATTTTATATATATATTTCTTTTATGATTCTATGTAAGACATATCACTTGTCTTAGGGCTAGACCGCCTAAACCTAAAATTTCACTATATCACTTGGTTATACTAAGTTTCATATTAGTTACACCTTTAGCGCTTTGATATATATTTTTCTCGACTGTTGATCAGGAACATAAGCCTTTGTAGTTACATTTTCCTATTTACCATTCCTTGCTTTCCTGTATCTTCCACTTTTTTATGCCACGGGTGATCTATACACAAAAACACCCAACATACAGAACAGAATGGGTGCTGGAATCATCCTAGCTTCATTGTTACTTCCAGTCCGACACGGCACACCTCACAGTAACCTCAGAAGAGAAGCAGAGATGGCAATCTGAAGGCTTCTTTACGTTTGAAAGCATAAAAACAAACCCAGAGAAAACCGTGCATTCCAAACCATGGAGCATTAACACAATAAACAGTTCTTGGCGAACATTAAAATATGTATATCAAAATGTATGGCCACTTAAAGCCCTACTCCAGGCGCTAGAAAAAAAATGACCCTTGCAGTGGAGCCCTCCCACACTGCAAAGGTTAAGTGCTCATTATGTCTAGGCGTAGAGGAAGCAGCTGTGACTCTTCCTCGCTCCAACAGGGTTCCTACATGCTGAGCAACTGGTCCCCCCAAAGCTTCTTCTCTAAGACGCTCCAGCTTGCAGTCACACGTTAATGTCATCACATATAACGCAGGACCAGTAGTCCTGCATTGTACGTGAGGCTGCCAAGGGACCACCCATGACCCAGAGCGTCAGAGGTGAGCACCAAAAGCCTAATAGTTGGGGGGTTTCAGCCGATTCAGTATCCAATGCCCAAAATTCAAAACCAAGTATGGCTTTAGAGCTAAGCCTTACCCATCTGGTCAACCCTTGGTCCAAAGACTGCCTTAGTGGCCAAGGTGCGAACATTGTACCAAAGAATGGAAGGTGGGTTAAGGAACCGCTTCATGATGGTGCTAGCTCCTGAAGACAAGGCAGTAAACCCCTTGGGTAAAAAGTGAGACCAGGATCACAAGAAGCTTTTTTGGCTTTCAGGTACCTTGTGGCACACCTGTGACTTGGCAGTCAGCAGTAAATCAGTATTATTCATGGAGCGGGTAAATAGGCCGCACTTCTCAAAATGGAACTTCAGCTCTGCCAAGGACTGCCTGTGACTACATGTTAGCATTGCTTCACAGTGAGATGGTAAGCATCAGGTTAACTGCAATACAATTCAAGAAAAAATCTCTAACAAAAGGTAGGTGAGGATCTGAATTCCACAACACCCACACAGTTGCATGATGTAAAGCAGATACACAGATTGATGGCAGCCTAGAGCTAGTATCGCATGACAGCATCAGATAAAGGGCAACTGCCCCTGTGTAGGTTGCTACTGCTCACCACCTCCTCAAAGTCGCTGACTTGGCATGCCCTTGTTCTGGGTCAGTGACTCAGACAGCATGGCAATCAGCATTTTCAAGAAAAATACTGACTGGGTGCTGTACAAAGCTTCCTGGAGACATCACAGCACCCTGCATCAGTGCTCAAGAGCCCTCAGCCCTGATGCACCTGGTCTGATGACTCTTGGGAGGAATGATACAAAAATCAGAATGCCTTGATGGGTGGATGTCAGTTTGGGAGGAGTGGGAGTTCCTAGACAGCCCACATTTGCATGCAGACCACCACAGATAACACCCACATGTGATGCTGAGCCTCCAAGATTGAAAGTACTGATATCCAATGGATAAAAGGGGTGGGCCAGGAACAGTCAGGCTGGAGAGAAAAGGCTAGATGATGCTGGACATCTTCCAGCCAGGAAATGAAGTGGGCTCTGACTTGCTGAACTTGCAATGCACACTACGAGAAGCTCACAGCACGCATTGAATTCAGAGTAAGCAATTTTAATACATTAGAGGAGCCTGTAGAGCTGTACAAGACTGAAGGGAAGGCCGAAGTTCTTCTTTAAAGCCTTGGGTACGTTATCTGCTGGTATAGCTGAATCACGTCCCGAGTTCCCACACTCTGCAGAGCAGTTGTGAATATTTTTGGACGGGGTAACACGATCCCTTTGCAAACTGAAAGAAGCCAGATCCCAACATAAAACATCAGGCCGAGTCTTTCTGCTCTGTGCAATAATTGCCTTATTACCGGGTACACATTCTGAGAGCTCTGAGATCTTGCCAAAGCCTTCAGATAATGGGAGCCATCCCAGTGGGACGCCACATTTTCCAGCAAGGTCAAACAGCTGTCTAAAAAATTAGCTGGAGCCTTCGGCTTAACTATTAGCTGGAAAGTATGAAGGTCTCCCATTCACAGGGCCATGTTTGTCTGCTACGGCTGAAACTCAATCCACACCTTGGCTGACATTTCCACTTAAGATTCAGGTGGCGCGGAACAACCGTGGAAAACCTCACACTTTCCTACACAAAGCAGACTTCTACTGCAGTAGGCAAATAGGTACCGTCCTAAGTAAAACAAAAAATAATAAATGTGCTAATATATATATCATTTAGGCATAATAAATATTAATGGGACACCAGGCCACATAGTATGCTGTGTTGAGCAGCTCTCCAATGCAAAGCATGAGAAGTCAGATCAGTTGGCATTAAGTAGTTCTGTGGCAACATTGAATTTAAATTTGCTATATCCTAGGAATCCAAAGCAACAAGTGCTATAAAAAAAACAAACAAAAAAAACCTGCTGCTTCTGGCCTAAAAATGGTGCCTACCTCGCGGTTATGGGCTGAGGGTCAGATTTAGGCACAATAGGTGTGTGCTTATAGGCTGCAAAAGCTAGAAGGTGGCTTTCCCCTGTACAGAATACCTATACAGGGAAAGGCCACCTGTTTGCTTCTGCTGCCTATAGGCACACACCCTAATGTGCCTAAATCTGGCTCTGAGGCCATAACAGCGAGGTAGCCAGTAAATACTTTTTGCCATTATAGCCACAAGTAAAAGTATACCAATACTAAGCCAGGCTTGGACTAGCAAAGTGGGTAAATGTTCTGTGTAAAAGGAGTTTTTGGCAGATGGATGTAGCTTTGGGCACCAAGGGTTTCGCTTCTATAAACTCCAGTACCAGAAGTGTTTCCTTGGCCTGAAATAAACCCAAAAGTGCATTAACACCTTAAGGGCCTATTCACACTAGTCATACACTAAAGCGATCAGTCATATCCTGTGGGCTAGTGTCTACTGGGTACTGGTTGGGGTGTGTGGAGGGACAAAGCACAATTTACGTTTTCTAATTCTTTTTAATAAGAGGAGTTAAAACTTAAAAATGCATTTAAGTACATTCATTGTTTACAAATATGTATCTTCTTTGTGTATCACTCGGCTGTAGATCCTCAAATCATCTCTGAATTGGTGCTGACACTGTCCTTGCTTCTGGGGGGTGGCTACTTTTTCCCCATGGTTCCTGTGTGTGTTGTAAAGTAGTCACCGCTCCAAGCTCGCTCCTGTGATGGACTACAGTCTCAGTACAAATTAGTAAACGTGAGATTGTATACCATCGCGCACCCCTGTACCCCTGACAATCTGTCACTGGGACAGGAAGTAGTGATAAAATGCAATAAAACTATTTTTGTTGGAGCTAGGCTCCAGGACAGGAGGGGGCGGACACAAGACCAGTCATCCTGTGAACTGAGAGAGCAGCGGTGACCAGTCTTTAACCCCTTCATGACTGAGGCCCTTTTTCATTTTTTGCACCCATGTTATATTCCACATTTTAGGCCTGAAAATGACGTAAAACCCCCCAACATTATATATTTTCTGAATGCCAAGACCCTATAGAATAAAATGGTGGTAGTTGAACATTTTTATGTTGCGCAATATTAGCGCAACTCCTTATTAAACCCCAAAATTTAGTGACAAATTTAATTAAATGCCCCAAAACACAACAAATTACCAATTTTTTTAATGAAATATAAAAGATGAGGTTACAACGAGTAAAACGATACCCAACATGCCCAGTTTACAGATTGCGTGCGACCGTGAAACGGCGAAAAACTGCAGTACCCCAAAAAGTCAATAAAAGACGCTTTAAAAGCCCCCACAGGTCATCAATTTAGAGATACCCCAAAATACTGGCCCTAGAATTATTGCTCTCACTCCGGCGTGCGCGGCGATACCCAACATGTGTAGCGCGTTCGTCGTTTTCATGCGTAGGCGCACCCGACGTGTGTTTACGTGGCGACGCGCGTGCTCGCAGGGGCGGGGGACTTTTAAATTTTTTTTTTATTATTATTAGATTTATTTTATTTCATTTTAATTTTAAAAACTGTTTTTTTTTTTTTTTTTACTTTACTTTGACTGCTATCACATGGGGGGGCTTGCAAGCCCCCCCATGTAATAGCAGATGGTGGTGACAGGTCCTCTTTAAGGTGATGCTGGGGGTCCAAAAGACCCTCAGTGTCACCTTTACACTGGAAATAAGCTATTGAAGTGCAGATCGCACTTCAATAGCTTATACCTGGGCTGCAGGAGCCCAGAACTGACAGCCCAGGGACCGGAAGTGATGCAATCTGCATCGCTCCCGGTCCCATAGAACGGGGAGGGGATCGATGAACGGAAGGGGTTAACGAAGGGGTTAATACAGGAAGCTCCTACACAAAGGCAAAGTTTCACACTGGATTACTGCACAGATCTGGAAGAAACACACAAAGCTCACCAAGATTCAAGGAAGAATACACATGACGTGTTTATCTCTTTATCCTGGAGTTCATCTTTAAAAAAAAAAAAAATCCAAAAAAGCTAAAGCAAAGAATATTAGGGAACACACAAGAGGGACATTAAAAACTCTCTAAAAACCAAAGAGGAACAAATAATAATGTGAGGTAGTGATGTACTGTTTCACTTCCTTGAACAAAAATAATCAAGTGTACACAAATGTCAGATGTCTTCACATTCATGAAGCAACACAGTAAAAAAAAAACCACTCCTGTGGCGGATCTGAAACGACCATCATGTTGGCGCACAAACTGATGGACATTTTTATGAAAGTGTCTGAAAGAAGAAATCTCTGGTCTGCAACTTGTTAGATCTTTTCCCTCCAACACATAAAAAAACACATGCATTAGGACCATGAAGGCAAAGTGATAAGGGAGGAGTAGTAACCTACGGAAGTGTTCTGTGAGGTGATGTGGTGTCTTGTTCGGAGTGATCGGAGTTCCCAATTCAGCAAAACGTGGGAACGCCTGAAAATGTGCGACGCAAACGTTTTAGATGATTTTTCATGCATATCAACTGGCCTCCTCCTAACAACCTCAGGCCTGAATAAAATCGAGAATTCAGTAGTGCCCATTCTGAATGTGGAGATCTTCATCCTTCCGGTTAGGGCCCACACATTAGAACCTCTGACTCTACTGCTCGTTACAAGAACTGCGGCAGAGGCCCCAAGGTTCCTAGGAGGAGGCGGACAGTTGCAATGCGCAAAAGAGCATGAAATATCATTTTCAGACGCTCCCACTGAAGTCTACGGGGCCAAAAACACAATTCTGCTCACGCACCTTTCCATACAATGAGTGGCAGAATGGACACCATTGAATAGAACGGGAATCTTCATTTTGAGCATTGCTGCACTTCGGCAATCAACAAATGGCTCAGGTGTAAATGGGGGCTTAGAGAGACCAAGAACAAAAAAAGATGAAGGGGTAAAATACAATCTCTTGAATAAACTGAATTGACTACCTCCTTGGGTTCACAAACCGCCTTTCAATGTCATAGGATCAATGCCAAAAAATGTGGACTGTCCATCTTAAAAAAAAACCCCACCAGTAAGCAAAATTTTGGATTATCCATCAGACTGACCTTTTCGCACATGCAGTGGAAGGACCATGAGAAAACAGAAGAGTAATGAGAACAGCTTCCTGAACTGGAAAAAGAGCATCATTCACCAGTCGATCACTGACAGGAGGAATCTGTGCTGCTATTTAAGACACTGGTCAAAATAAGCAGCAAGGACAGCACACCGCGAGCCACAAGCCAGAGAAGGGCCAGACTATTTATTCCCTTAACGATCTTGTAAAGGACTAGTTGCCACAAAATGTCTCACACTTAACGGACTCTCAATATGTTATGGAGATTAATGGGTTTATAAGCCCTCAGCTTTTTCTGCATATATCTACTGCTAGCAAGTAGGAGAAATATGCAAAATGTTTTTTTAAACAAATAACGCTTTAACAGCGGATTAAACTCACCTGTGTCTTCCACGCGCGCTCCCGTCCGAAAATGTGAACATTCTCAGGCGGCCGCAAAAGATCTTGGGGTGCGCGCATACGCAGTTTACATTTTCGCCCGGGACGCGAGGAGGGACGCAAGGTAAGTCTATGGATGCGTGCACCCGCATGCAGACACCGTGGGACAGGAAGTGCCAGCAAGCCCAGAGGAGTCAGCGCTGGATCGGACACCCACCGCAGCGCTGGAGAGAAGTCTGAAAACATCAGGAAAGAAGATAGGATTAAGAGACATCATTTAAGGTGAGTGCTTTAATTAACGTTGGGGTGAGGGAAAAAAAGTTGCCTTTAATGTCACTTTAAGGCATTTCCTAGTAACCCGTCACAAGACATGAATCTCAAGCAGCTCTCCAGAACTGCAAAAGAAAAAAAAACCATTTGCATGGTATACAATGTGGAAAGTTTGGAACTTCAGGTGATGCATTCTATTGCCCAGTATTAGTTATTAAAGATACAAGCTTTTGAATCCCATTAGATTTCTTCTTCAGGCTTCTTTCTTTAAAGTAAAACTATATGGGCTTGCATTAAAAAAAATGTGCTGCAGCACTTGATAAATAAGGTGCGTCTGCACTTATAATTTTCACTCTGAAAAGCCGCGTCTGCCTTGAAAAGTTTTTGCAAATACCTGCTGCGCCTAATGTATTTTCATGTGATGCGGTGGCAACAATGCTGCACCACTCTCGAATTCAGAGCATGGTTGCCACACTTCTGTAGGCCGTGCCTGATTGCACTACATTGGGATTTTTAAAAAATATTGTTGCAAGGGGCGTGGCTATTGTCATTGCTTATTCACAAGCCCGGAGCTCGTCAAACAACACCTAGCCACACCTATTCCTGCCAACTGCTTTCTGGATTGACAGCACCACCTCCTTCAACCTTCCCATTGTGAGCTGTAGTGTCTGGGAGGAGATATGTGCAACACAAACTATGGAGGATTTAGCTCAGTGAGGGAAGATTAAGGATGTTTTTTGGCTTGTGCATCCCATATTACCAGGATTTGGTAGTCGTTAAGAGTCTAGTTGTACTAGCAAACCTTATCAATATGCTAGATATACTGTTAAAATACATATACAAGAGCTGTTGTGGATTTGTATTTCTGCTCATTCAATCCTCAGCCCTATCAGACATCAGAGCCAGGTTGTGACCCAAGTTTTCACTACTGCAGTTAAGCAATACTGCCTTGGTCACCTCCCTGCCTGTGACTGGAAAATGAAAGCATAGCACTGATTAGTCATCTCTACGCTCATTCTGGTCCCACCTCCTCTGAGAATGTTCTTCGCCAGCTCCTATGCACTGCAAAAATACTGATTGACTGTGTGTACTGCCCCTTCCACTCCCAGTGTGAGGCTGATCAGGAAATCACGAGAAGTGAATACCAAGTCAAAATCAGATATTAACAGTAGAAGAATTCAAAAATAAATGCAAAATTTTTTTAATTAGCACATATGTGCATTGCTTTTTTTTTTTTTTACTTTTTATATCTGCCTTGAGTTCAGCATTAAGTTAATTGGGAATTTTTGGTAGAGTAAAATCTACTCTTCCCAATATATGCAGTTGTCCTGCTACACTGCAGGTGTCACATGCCAGCTCTATAGAGCGAGATCTGAGCGATCATGGACTGCCGATAGCTCAGCTTGCAGTCTTCTCCCTACAGAGAGCAGTGAGGGACAGACAGGGGAGGGGGCGGGCACAGCAGGCTCTGGCTCTAGAGAGGCAGAGCCAGCTGTCAATCAGTCAGCGGGCTGGATCCCGACAATATAGCCAGGATCTTTCCTGGCTGCAGCGCGGCTCTGTGCTGTCAGCAGCCTATAAGATGCTGACTTCGGGTCACAGGAATACATTAGTAAATGTACTTCTGCAACCCAAAAGAGGAATAAAGCCAGAAAAAAAAGTTTGGCTTTAGTTCTCTTTTCACCAATAGAGGGAATCACACTTCAAACCTTCCACATTAATCGGTAGCTTACACCGTACAAGACTCTACTAAAGGCTATATAAATAATATAGTTGTTCACTGTGTGGACTACTGAGGAAAGTTCCCATTAAAGGTACAAAAGCATCAATACTCTCAATTCAAAAACAGTCACCTTCTAGCACATAGAGGTGTTCGTTATCACACAGATTTTAAAACCTCCTGCAAGTAGGCTCAATTCTTCATTTTTCAATGCAGAAAGTTGAAGGAGCAAAGTACGACACATGTAAGAGCCATCACTGAGTGAGAACTGAAGTTGTGGCCTGACAACCGAGTAAAAGACAGGGGGAAATCTCCACCGACCATGCTTGGGAATATATCTGTCGGTCTATTACTACTCTAGCACTTTAAGTCTAGGACTTTGGACTCCTATTAACCTCTTGGCATAACATGTATGCGACTACCACGAGACCACACACATACTGTACAAACACATGCTCTGGTGATATTGAGTCGATTTACTTTACTGGGTACAAACAACCTAATCAAATAACAGATAAATGGGCAAAAAAAACTGGCTAAACCGCAACAAAAAATAACCTAAAAGGTCTAAGACAGGTTGTCAAAACACATCAAAATAGAAGGCATTGAACAACGCCAAGTTACACAAAAAAAAAATGAAATTCAGGAGCAGTCAAGTGCAGACATGTCGAAACTCTCTCAATATGCAGACACAAGTGTAGTCAGTGAACGTCTCCCTCCAGCAGATGGGACAAAAAAGGATTGTGTGTGTGTGTGTGTGATTTGGGTGAGTTATGAGAGGTCGGGTGAGGCACACAGCGTGAGAAAGGGACTTTCCACCAAATCTCTATTTTAAGCATGCATCTCACTGAACATGCAGCTGGCAGGAGGGAACTAGACTTATTTCCATCTTGTGAACATGTCACTTTGTAGAGCCATGAGCAGTCTATTGTTATACCTTTCCTGGACAGGTGATATAAATTTATGATCACAGCCAATATAACCTAATAAAAAGCTAAGATACTTGTAAAAACTGGGCATTTTATCTGAGCCATTCTTGGCTAAAAACCCCCATCTATGCCCAAATGACTACCAGCATGGCAATCGGAATGTATGTGGGGTACAGATATTCCAGGGCACCCCTTCGAATAAATAGAGGGTGATAGACTAGATTCTAGATGACCTCCTGAATTCCTCCAATACCATGTTCATATGTCAATATAAAGCTAGCATTCTTGCCGGTACAGATACAGAGTAACAGATGTACCAAATACCTTCGCTGAAGAAAATGCCGCTTTTCTGGATCCTTCCAGTGTAGCACATGCCTGAAGACAAAGATGTTTCATCATGTGATCTCAGCTGGAGAGAAAGCTCAGCCAATTAGAAGTGTGATTGCACATGCCCAGTACTACAGAAAACAAAGAGGGCTACACAGAGGATCAAGTAACTATCAAAGATTATTTATTTTCTTCTGAACCAAATCAGACATGGTGAAGGGAGGAGAATAGAACAGAGCCCAACGTCTGTTTCAAAATCCTCTATTTCTGTCTTGCGTTAAAAGTGACACTAAAATCAGGAGTTAAATCATTGTAAATGCATTCAAGGACCTTCATTAATCAAGAATGTATCTTATTTGTGTATCACTAGGCTGTCGATCCTCAAATCGAATTGGTGCCGACACTGTCCTTCCTTCTGGAGGGGGGCTACTTTTGTTCCCCATGGTCCCAGTGTGTGATGTAGAGTCACCGCTCCAAGCTCACTCCCATGATGGACTACAATCTTAGTAGTACAAATTAGTAAACTAAACGTGAGACTGTAGTTTATTACGGGAGCGAGCTTGGAGAGGTAGCTACTTTATAACACACACAGGGACCATGGGGACCAAAAGTAGCCACCCTCCAGAAGGAAGGACAGTGTCAGCACCAACCTAAAGATGTTTTGAGGCTCTCCAGCACCACCCTTCCTTCTGGAGGGGAGCTACTTTTGTTCCCCAATTTTGTTGTAAAGTAGTCACCGCTCCAAGCTCACTCCCATGATGGACTTCCATCTCATGTTTAGTTCATTAATTTGTATTGAAGTTATAGTCTATCACGGGAGTGTACTCGGAGCAGTTGCTACTTTACAACACACACAGGTACAACACACACAGGGACCATGGGGAACAAAAGTAGCCCCCCTCCAGAAGGAAGGACAGTGTCAGCAACAATTCAGAGATGATTGGAGGATCTACAGCCGAGTGATACACAAACAAGATACTTTTTTATTAATAATTAGGGCATTTTAATGCATTTGTAAGATTTAACTTTTGAGTTTAGTGTCACTTTAAGCCCAATCTGATTTTAGATGGCTTCTACAGAATGTTGTCCTATGCTGAGACACTTTAATGCACTTAATATAGTGAAACAATGGTTCATTTTTTCGCAACTCCTGGAGAATATTTCTGGACGAAGCTGTCTTCTGTGTCCGTACATACCTCGATATCATTTCCTGAGTTCTGACTCCTAAGTGTTATGAATGGCAAAATTTCCCATCTTCCCACCACTCCTTAGCTTGAGATAAATTGGAAGAAAGGAAAGAGAAAACACTCAAAAAGCAAAGCACAATGCAGTCATAATCTCCAACCGCACGTCATTTCCAGGCAGGACGCACATACTGCTCGATATGATAACGAGTGGGATGGAAATATTTTGATGCACACATCAATAATAATTAACAGCTCTCTAACAATGCATAATTCTGACAGCTCATTTGTTAAAGGGAACATTCATAAAGCAGATAACTACAGTCACTGTTAAAGGGCATGTCCAGAAGAAATTTTCTTCGCTTTGTTTTGGATAGCGTAGGGAAGGATTAGAAGCCTTTATCCAAAACTGGAACAGCAGCTATTAGAAAATTAGTACCAAATTACGGACATATTATAATAAACACCAAACGAACCTGTGCTAAAAGCTAATTATTAGTTTCCAGAAGGTACACAATGTACCTGAAGTCAATAACTCCACAATGTGGGAGGATTGCTTGCCTGAATGTTAATTCATGGAAACTTGTCAGCCTTTTGGGGCTACTGGAGGTTCAAAACTTTTTGGGCAGGACAACACAAAATTGGAAACCATAATACACATATAAAAGAATTGTACAACATTTTATAGCAAAATTGGTGATTGTTTATAATCTGGCTAACTAATCGATTTTGAAAATAATCGTTAGCTGCAGCTCTATCTGTGTCTAAAAGATGTTTGTGCTTACAGTTCTAATTTGTCACCTTGAAATAAAAGCATGAATGAGAAAACCTGATTGCAATAGGAGACACTCAATTGTCTTCCAGATACCAATTAGAATACAAGGACAGACGGATACAAAAAGTCTTTACACAGGAAGACTTACCCTTGTCATTTTAAAGAAATCTATAGATGGCCTACTCCACCGGACGTCCTCGTCACGTCTGCGCTTTAGCCGGGCTTTCCTCTCGTTTAACACACACGGCTGGGAGCGACACCGTAGTAAGCCCTGGCGCCGCCTCAACTCTGGAGTAGAAGTTGGTGTGCTGTTGGCTGAAGGCAAAATATCTCCTGGTTCTGTGATGTGCTCCTGAGACAGAGAAAGGCGCCTCCTTGGACTGAAGTCGCAAGGGCCGCCAGAGTTCCAACGTATGCTTGAAGTTGTGCTTCCTTCGCTACTGTCCACAAAACCGCTGCTGGCGGAAGAGGGCCTTGGGACTGGAGACGTGTTGCAGGCAGGCACTGTGAACACATTGTTGTTGTTAAGAGCCGGGGCGTTCTGTGGCAGACTAACACTTGTGCTTCTCTGCAGGGTGGCACTGCCGTGGCTGTTACAGCGCTGTAAAGTGGCGCTGCCCCCACTATTGCATCGCCTCTTTGAGACGGGAGTCCAAACCTTGGAATTGCCTGGTTTCCAGGGGGACCGACAGCGCGACAGTTCGTCTGGCTCAGACAGTGACCTGCAGTGTCTTTTCGTCGGGGGTGCCAGCGGCTGCCCAAAGCTGTCGTTAAGATTAAGTTCATTTATCCACCCTGATACTAAGGACTGATTGGAGGGCTCGTTCTGCCATGGCAGCATAAAGTTGGCAGGAGTGCCGGTGCTGAAGGGACACATGGAAAAAGGGAAGATGGAGTTCTTGTTCAGCTCCGTCCTGATTGGACAAGCCCTGTCAATCATTTTCCAGGGGCTATCCTCTACAAGAAAAAAAGGGAATAAAAAGAGAAAAAAAAGAAACAGAGGAAAATATTAGAACAGTAGCAGCATTGTAACATATGCATTCTTCTTTAAAAATATGTTGAGCGCACAATACCAGACACCAAGGTAATGAGAGTCATATCAGAAGAGGCCGAGTTTATTTTCAGTACTGAGAAACTGCCATGTAGACAGATAACTCAACTCACTTCAACTCAAATAGCAAAGACTTTTACAAAGGGGAATTCTCAGAAGCATGTAAATAACACTCTGCCCTCCTGCGTGTGCTGTGCACATTTTTCACCACATCATCCAATTACGTAACCGATAACATTCAATTTTTATAATGATAGCTAGGCACATATTGGGTTTCAGTTTTTACTTATCTTACCTATACATATCAAATTGTGGCTGACAACAAAAAAAGGTGCTGTATTATTTAGTGCTTCCATATGTGCAAGTCATAAGAACTTTAAAAAGATCCTAGCCTACGATTCACTGTGGGAGGTATGGGTTCTCAAACATTTTCTCGGTGTTGGACTCAAGGTATTAAAGTGTATGTACAGCAAAACGTTTTTAGTTTTGGATAAAGTAGGACGGTCAAGATCCCTGGGAGGTTATATTTTTTTGCAGTCTGTGAACCACTGGGAAAATTTCCCTCCACTTCCTGTCCCAGGGACCAACAGAAAGTGGAAATGTCCTAAAGTGAGGGAAATTCGCCTCTTAGGCAGCTGTCCCCGGAACAAGTGTCCCAACTGGAATATTTATCCTCACTGTTCGTTCTGATTAGTCAGCACTTTCTTCCACGGTGACAATGGTCATCGGTACAAAAAGAGTGGTGAATCACACTGATAGGGACTCAGACAGCAATAAAAACTTAACAGAAAGTCTAACCTTTCCCAACAATCCAAAATGTAAAAAAAAAATGGTTTTGCCTAGAGATGCATTTCAATTAAAACTAGTCATAACTGGGGTTATGCAAGAATCTTTACATTCACTGTTACATCTTCATAAATGTGGAAGCTTACCACGTATATATGCCCTCTTTTTAATCCTAATTTATACTGTTTGAGGATGAATCCAGGTCCTAAGAGAACAGATAAGAGGCCACCTCAAGGCTGGTCGGCCAACTTCCTGACCTCACGTTGATCATGCATGCTGTCCTCAGTGTCCATAACGGTATTATCAAACAGAGACTGTAGTTAAGAATGTAAACAAGTAGGAGGGCTATGTGGTTGATAGCATTAAGGTTTTTTAGGAGCTGGAAGATGGTGTAGGTTATCAGCAAAAGATCAGGCAGTTGACAGAGTAACTACTGTCAAATTTGATGTCACCTATCATCTCTGACCTTCACCAAGAATTATCCTCAGACAAACTAAAATATAACCTAGTAAGGGGGTAATTATTATAATTTAGAAACTTTCAATATGTCTTTTATGGACTAAAAGACCCCATGCCTTTCTACTGGCAACCAAATATAAAGCATGGGAGGCAGAAGGTGAGCCAGGAATCAACCACGGAAGACTTGTTCAATATTAGCATTACCTAGTCTCCAGGTTTCCAAAGCTCTCTAAAGAAGCAAGAGGACTCAAGGCCACTTTTGAAGGTAGGTTAAGCACTCTGGTTCCCTTTAAAGGGAACCTATACATGAAGTAATATGGGAGCTGCCACTGTTGACTTTGTAAAAGGTTAATGCTTTGGTGACCCTGGCATCACTGACCTGGAATAACTTTGCAGACTTCTGCCTTCATACTTTTTTTAGGTGAGAGATTTGCAGGTTCACATTGAGGAAAGGAAATGGCTTACTAGTAATATCGGCCAGACTTCAGAAATGTCATTTAAAATTGTACTGATATTTTATTTTTTGTACATAACAATCATGTTCTGCGTTTTATTTTGTTTTTTTAAAGAGATGCATGTCCCTTTCAATGTTTTAACAGGATGGAAAGACATCACCTAGCCATTGGAAGCCAAATACTTAGTCTTAGATTTGCAAACAGCTGTTCAGATTAAATTTGGCCCACACAAACCATACCTGATTTAATTTTAATTTAAGCAAATCCAGCAATGAACGTGGCAGTCAAACTTAATGCAAGATTCAGACCTACAGCTGCGCTAGCATGACCCCAAAAAAAAAATTACATCTTAAAGGACTTCCTTTACAAACAATGACAAATTGTGAGTGAAACACTTAAGAGGAAGTTCTAAAATAAGGATTCTGATGCTGAACAAAGTTCAGCTCTATTTGAGGGAAGGGGGTAGTCCAGTTTTTTTGTGTCTGTTATAATCTGACCCATTTAAATGTTTTAAATATGAGAAGGATGGGATGAAATATGTCCCCGTCCAACTAAACCAGCGGCTGGCCAACAGTGCAGGCTGTATTTAATATGCAAAGCTCCTTAGAGGCATACAATCGCTGTGAGCCACTGATTCGCGCCCATTGTTCCACGATCCGTTTAAGCCAGCAGGCTCTCAACCCTCATTTTCAAGCTCTGCATATGATTAGTACCAGAAAGGGGATCTACTTTTTTTTTTTTTTCTCCTCACTCTTCGCTGAACACCTTGCTTTCCATATAAAGAAAAATCTGCTAAGGTTTCACGAAAACTTACCATTGATTTCGTAAGGGAACAAGGTGCCACCATTGTTCAGCTTCTCAGAAGAGCGCTGAAATTAACCAAAGGAAAAAAAGTTTCAACACCATACAACAGAACATGGTGTGAAAAAATACACAAATCATACACTTTGCGAGCAGGACTTTAAAAAAAAAATATATATATATATATGACAATCAGATGTTTAGGGTACCGGCCAATGCACGGGAGGTACACGTGGGTGAAACAAATTCACTGTGGGGGTAGGCCAGATCTCCGTATTGTATAAACGAAAACCAGAACTTCGCCATCTGTTCCGTTTTCAATACGTGAAAAATTGTGAGGTAACAGCTGTAAAGTGTTAAGTGGTATTTCTAAACAGCCTTGATATAAAACATTACACGATCATATCTTTACTGGAAAGTGACTTGCAGAAGAAAATTGTTTTATAGGGAAAAAAACAAATCTCCTGGAAACACAAAAGGGTCTAGTGGATTTTGTTTCTGCGTTTAGCTTGTCAGAATTAGAATTTAGACACAATGATAAATGCTGGTAATAACACACATATAGGTCTATCAGTAAAAAAAATAAGTCAAGGCAACTGGACTTGCTGTATTTTTTTTTAAGACGTTTCACTGGACATCTGACCAGCTTTCTCAATTCAGAATGAAGTCAGAATTTTTTTTACAAGTCATTCTGAATTGAGAAAGCTGGTTGGATGTCCAGTGAAACGTCTTCAAGAAAAATACAGCAAGTCCAGTTGCCTTGACTTATTTTTTACAGATATACCATGACCTGGATGAATGAGGACCTTCACAGACACATAAAGGTCTAGATATTTATATGATTAAAAGGAACCCCTTGACCCAGATAAACCATAGATGCAATAAAAACTCGACCTTCAGATGATTTATTGATGTTATTTCCTAAGATGCATTACCAAGCATAATTATAGCACAACGCTAAGAAACATATCACATGAGCAATTCTGGAGCACTAAGGAACCTTTTTTAAAATTGTTTTCTATGTTGATATCTACAATGGGGATACTAAGCTGGAGCTGACTGCCTAAGTAGTTACCAAGAACATCACAAGTGGTTAGAAAAGCTGATATTTAGGACACCTCAAAATGCTAAAAAAGCAGAGCAAATTGCATGAAAGATTCTGTAGCTGCCACAAGTCCCTCCTCAATGTTAAGTGCACCTGTGCCAAGACTATAGACAAATAAGTATTTCTCTATTGTTAAGCAGTAATAGGTTTCAATCCAGCCCTCACTGAACTCTCCACCTGCTTGTACTGTGAAGCAATTCATTCTCAAAGATTACAACAAAGACTCTAAAGTCAGTCTCATGCAGTTTCAAGCAGCTTAAAGCAGTTTTCAAGAGAAAGCAATTTCAAGGAAAAAATGTTCTAATTTATTTAATCCCTCATTTCCACAGGCTCCCGCCATTCTCTAAGGTGCTACATCAGTCACAGGCACTCTGACGTAATCAAATATTCTGAAGGGCCAAGAGTTGGGCGCCGGTTTCCAGAATAGCAAGGGACGAGTAAAGTAAAAGTCCTTTATCCTGGTTCCCTAGGCCTCTGTTATAAAGTCCAAAAATTTTCTCCACAGTGCTCCACAGAGGTGAATGAGGGCTTGTTTTACAGCGCTTCTACTGCTCGTCCAGAATATGTAAATAATCTAAACAGTGTACAGTCTGGGCACAGGTTCACTTTAAAGCACATAATGTTTTGCATAAGTTTAAAAAGATAAACATAACTTTTACGCACCTCCTTACAATGGACCTTTATTACTCGCATAAGGCTGCTATTATACCCATACTCAGAATAGGTCATAAAAAGTGCTAAGGAGATGTCAGAAATGCTTACCTGTCTCCATAAACTTCTTCTGCTCCCCAGTGACAGCCATGTAAATCAATAACTAGGCATTGGGCGCACACAGTCTCTACTGAAGGGGCTTTAGTGGCTCTACCAGACCTGGTTCTTTTCTGTGGCAGGGCAATGCCAAGGAACTGGTCATGTGACTGGCACCAGTGGGTAAAAAATGGATTTCTGAGGTCACTTTCATGATTATGACTGGATTGATTAGAAATGTACACAATCTTATTTAGAAGGTGTAGGTCCACTTTAGTAGAATACTAGATATATTTGAATATTATAAAAGTTTTAAAAAAGTATTTACAGGGCTCTAAACATAAGCACACAAATCAAACTAAACACTTTAAATATATCTCCAGACAGACAGAGGTCCTCCAGCTTTTGTATGATTGTATATCCAAGCTTGTGGTTCCAGAAGACAGCTGCATTCCAGAGCAACTCTGTGAATCGATGAACAACATCAATGCCCTCCAATCAAAACAAGCAGATTTCTACAAAGATTCAAAAATGCTTCCAGCCAAATTTTCTAATTTAGGATAGAGAGGTGAAGGGGTAGAATGTCAGATCTCTACGGGGGAATATTTCCCCTTATTTCCTGTCCTGGTAACACGGCTAGTTATAGAGGGGATTTTTTTGCAAAAAGGGCAGACAGCAATACATACATATCTGCTCCGGTGACAGTGGACAGCAGTTCCATTTCTTTCCTATTCCAAAGCTGAAAAGAAAATTGAATTACATCTACCCCCCAAACGTGGCATTTCAGTTCCGAATGGCTGTCAAGTTGAGCTACATGCTAAGATATCTACACAAACATTTTATTGCATCTAATTTTGTCTATTATAAAGCCAAACAATGACACCAGGAATTCCGGCCTTTAATTTGGGAGTCATTTGCCCCAAATCACTGGGGTACGCTGGATGTCATAGTTTGGCTTTATAATAGACAGATCAGCATTTTTTGAGTAGCATGTGGGAAAAGCCTAGCAGGAAGGGGGTGAAGACAAACTACTATGGGGATATCTTCCCAAAGTAAGACATAAGAAGCTCATGGTGACTCGACTGTACAGGGGCTCCCCCTGAAACTAAAATAATTTGTGCAAGAAACATGCACTGTTATATCAGAATAAGTATTCATATGTTTTCTATGTAGCATACAGCATAAGCAGTACTCTTGAAACATCTAAAAAAAGACCACTTCAAATTCCTCACTGCATGGAAAAAAATAAGACTATAAAACATGGCTGATTAACAAGCTTCCTCCCCCAAATGCTTTGTGGACTGTGATTTATTTTTCACTAGGCCAAAAAAGATACTATTGTTCGGACACTTCCTTTACAATGATGGCTTATTTTGTGTAGAAGATAAACATCCTTAAACTGTCTTTCTGCACTACACAAGACGCAACCAAGTGGATGCAGTCAGCTTAACCCTAGATTACCCAGACTGCAGCAGTGTAAAACAAATGTAACTATTTGTGTGACAAAGCAGTGCAATTGCAAAAAAAGTTTGGGGGCATGTATATGACTTGACTGGCCAAAATGAAGCCCTCCAGCTGTTTAAGCAGGACATGAACTGTATTGGATGTGCCTAAAAAGGCCAAACAGAAGGTGACCAGTATTGCCTGTAGGCTCCGTGCAGCTGATCTTTTCCCCATTACAGATCTACCATATCTTGTTCTGTATTGTGTTTTTGTGGAGGTGGCCATCTAGGAATAGTAGAGCTTCACCTCCTTATGTCAGAGCTGCCACCCTGATGAATGGTGATCAGGGAATATTCAATAATGAGCAGGAGGGGTGCAGAAAGCAGAGATCCACAGGCTGTATAATGCAGAGGAAAGGAGATCCTTGCAATGCAGCTCCTCAGGTTCAGCTTCTTCTTCAGCAAAGAGAACAGTGAATATCAACAAATCTCATTCCACATCTCATGACACCAACAGCCACAGGCACAGGGCCTTAGGCAATCTCACACTGCACATATACAGCTATGAGGCTACAGAACAGGAGTTCCTAGCTACAGTCATGTCAGGAGGTTCACTGAGAAATTCAAGGTAAAAGGTTTTTTTCAGGGTACTGCATATTGTTATTATACAGGATTTATATAGCGCCAACAGTTTGCGCAGCGCTGCATAGGCACAATTAACCTTTTAGATGTTCTCTATAAAATAGCAAATCTTTACTCAGTCATAACAGGAAGTACATCTTGCCCTGCCTGAGTTAGCAAGGTACTGCTAATGTTTTACTATGCAAGTGACAGTTTTTCGTACAGGTTGCCTGCAGAGAGGCCTATTCCTACCCAAATGTACTATTTTGGCTATAAATGTCTGCAGGTTAAACTAACTATGGAATACTTGCTTTCTCACGGACTGCCAAGAAGAATTCTTATATCTATATAATGACAGGTATGGTCACTGCAAAAGCAATTAACGGTGGCAGTCTTCCCTACTGGATTCTCCATGATGTAGGCCAAATAACTAATAGGAGAAATCATAGTGATGGTTATAGCCTTGTGGTAGGGGCAAAGGAACATCTGATGGAAGCCACCACCAATGGAATCTTTGATATAAGAGCTTAAAGGAGAACTATGGGGTTAGGGCTTTTCGCCATAGTTCTCCTAAGGGTAACGGGAGGACACAAACTAGTGTCCTCCCGTCACCCTAAGCTCAGTATACCGCCAGCTACAGCTCGCGGTATACTGAGACGCCGCAGTATACCGCGAGCTACAGCTCGCTTTATACTGAGACGCTGAAGTGGATCCCAACAATTATGTCTGGATCCGCCCAGCTGAGTGACAGCTGGCTCTGCCTATCTAGAGGCAGAGCCAGCTGTACCCTCCCCCGTCCGTTCCGCCAGTCAGCGCTGGAGGATCGCAGCGGGGAGGGGGGAATCCAGTCCCTCCCCTGTCACGGCTCTGTGCCATGACAGGATCGAGAAGTGAGTGAACGCCGGTATGTGTTCGCTCACTTCCCGATCTACTGAGCCGACCTGCGACAGTCTCATTGTCACAGGTCGGCTAGAACTATGAGGCGAGTGAAAAGCACTCGCCTCATAGTTCTCCTTTAACTGGTGCTGAAAGGGGACATTTACCAGGAAGCCAACATACAACATATTCTGAAGATTGTTCTCAGTGGCAGTACATGCACTCATATTCAGCAGGCGAGGCTTTACACTGTATGCAGCAAATTGGGTCACAACAGACTGCAGCACTTCCTTGCTGGGGAGCATTGTAGAAATATGCACAAGATAACACTTGGATTCTTGCCTGCATCAAGACGCAATAACATGTATTGACATGACATGTATTGTTTGCGGATATCTTGCACTTGGAAAATGTAAAATGTATGAGGAACATACATGTGATGGGATGACCTTGATTCAAGGTGTGTTAACGTTTAAGGAGCCTAGTCTTTATGTATGAAAGAAAAAAAAATTATAATTTATACACACACACACACCTCACTTTGGTCTGTATGCTTCTTTTGACTTAAGTGAAATGCTCAGTGTGTTTCTATATGGTGGATTTCATATACAGTGACCCAGTTCTGTAGCATGTCAGAGCTTAGATCATGCAGCGCACCATATAGCTAGAGGCAAAGGGTTTTAATTATACGAGCACTGAAAGTACAACAGCTTCTCCCTGTATGCTCAGAAAGGATCTCCCCACCGCACCCATCATATCACCGTCCTGCAGGCTTGGTCAGCAAACCTTCAAGGAACAGATCACATGAATGGCTGCAGTTAACCGTTTCAGCAACCAAATGTCTGCCTTCAGGGTAGATATTGCAGATGCTTCAAAGATCAGACCACTGGATGCTTCATGCACAGCAGTATTAATGAGACAAAACCTCCTCATGTGGGACATTAATTCCAGCTCATAATGAAACAGGGACTCAATGCAAATGATGTAAAGGAAACATTGTGGTGTTGCCTACAGCAAGTCAGACGGCCTCTTTGATTTTCTAAACAAGAACAGCACGCTGATAGGGACAAGGGCTCAACATCCTTCCAAATGTAAAAGGCCTACAGACTACATGCAATGTAGGGGGGTTTACTTAAGTTGTTTGAATCACATGCATAATGAATGCTGTCTTGTAGGAATGGTGTGTACACTGTCTTCCAGAGTTAAAGGTAAAACAGAAAAGCTTAAGTACATGACTGGCATCAATAAATGGACAGAGTTGGGGTCTATGTAGAGCAGTGCTGGGAAATCCTTAAAGAAGAAGTCTGGCCAGAAGTTAAAAATGCTGGTTAACCACCCGGGGGACCCAGTGCACATCGCACTTGGTCCCATTAACATCTGTGTCAAGAAACGCAGACTTGATATCCTCAGCCACATGGCAACATAAAGTGGAACTCCAGTAATACTTTTAGTTTTGGCTACATAGGGGAAGAGACAGAACCTCTTTCAGGCTTTCAAATTACTGCATCTGCCCAGTGGGAAGCGTTTTCCTTACTTCTGTGGGAACATTGAGACAGGAGAAGAAAATCTCTCCAAGAGAAAAAACAGACAGCAGTAGACTGGAAAACGATTGGAATGGCTGTCAAATTGTTTTCCCATTAGAGACATTACCCTTCACTTCTTGTGTGGTCATTGTCACAGGCAGTTAGGGTAGACCAACAATGAAAACCTGACAAAGGTTATAGCCCATCCCCAGTCTCTCCAAAAGAAAAACAAAAGTTTTGGCTGGAGTGCTACTTTCGTATAAAAGATATGATTGTTATTTTGGGCAACCACGCCAACTCTACGCTAATTTGTGTACGTCACCCACCCAACCCTCAAGGTCCCAGATGAAAATAAATTAACCCACTTTAAATGAAATGCGACTCAGGAGAAATACATAACTCATTTCAGCAAGTCTTACTGTACTTTGGAACCAAAACAGTGTAACCTGCAACCACTTGCCAGGCAGGGCACTCCACATAATGCCTTTAATACTAAATCTCAAAAATTATGCAACCTCGGACAAATCTACCTAGGCGTATCCTGCAATTTTACTGGCATTCATGTTTAATAAGAATCCATTTGCATCAGCCTGAATAGAGATCTCACAGGTGGTTTTATTCCCAGTTATACAGCTGCTACCTCAGGCTAGTGAAGTCATGGCAATCCCTCATGTAACGCTGGTGCACAACCAGTGGGAACAAGCTTTCTCGTATAGGTGATCATTAAGCTAATAGCTTGTGTTGGGCCATCTCGTTACCAAAGCATGAGGAACGTCAACGTTAAAGGGAACCTGGGAAGATATATGGAGGGGTGACACTCCTTACTTTGTGTAGGTGCAGGCTCTGGTCTCGAAATGCTTGCTTGATTGCTTAGTGAGTCAACGACTGTTACAGTACAGTGACTTATCACATACAAAAGCCAGGATCCAAATACAAGACCTGGGTCCTGCACCTTTAAAAGAAAGCTCCGATGGCAGTTCTCATAGTTCTCCCCTCAAAGATTCCTTTTAAAGATGAACTCCATTAAGACAGCTAAATACACAAATGGAATACATATAAGGGGTCTGTCTTACTTGCCAAAGTTTTTCATTTGTCCATCCAGCCCGAATATTTACACAGTTGTGCCTCACAAAACAGCCCTGACTGGAAGGGCAAGAGCCCCGATTTTTCTCTGCTGCAAGTAAGTAACACCTACAGGTCTTGTCCTTCTCCATGCCCGATACGGTCATATTCAGGTACTATCACTGCTTGCATTTGAAAAAATACATAATGATGTATTAATCAGTACAGAACTGCATTCATTTGTGTCTTATATCTGTCTGGGATTCAACTTTAAAGAAGAACTCCAAGGATCACTTGAGGACATTTGTTATTTTCGCAGCTAGACAAAAACGAGCATTTGCATTGTGGGGGTACTTGCATTGTGGGGGCTAGCCCCACTGCAAGGGTTAAGACAAATGTTTCCGGAAATTCTTCATTAAACTGATCACATCCACATATATTTAAAACACCTGTTAAAAGCCTATACGTCTATTTAAAGTGGACCCTTATTTTATGCTATCAGTACAAGGAGCATTACTGTGCTCAAACCAAAAGTAAACCAATCTGTAATTAACCTTTGGCTCTGTGTAGCTGAATTGTGGTTGCTATGAGTTATTATCCATCATTGCTCTTTACTGTGCTATGCAGTAAAGCCTTATATGTTCATTGACACTGCACCACAGTTTACAAGGCCACAGACTGCAAACAGCTGATAGGAAGAGCTATTTGCATTGCTGTCATCCTGTGCTCTTTATCTACGTTATTATGGAGTGGTTTGATGACTATTTTTATGTCTTAAAAGCACAATAAAACCCAACATGACATTGCTAAGCTCCGATACGGACTGGAACGATACTGGAATACTTTGTACCCTCTCTTGGTACTAAAAGGATTGCATTGTAATGACCAGGAAGACTACATTTTCTTTTCTTTTTTTGTCCACTCAGTTTCTGATACCACTACTGGTACCAAGGCAAGTTCCATGTGGGATACCCACAGGCAAGGGAGTTAACTGCATATTACTATATAAAACGAATATGCAATATTTAAAAAGGTAGATGGACCTAATAAAGTACAGAAATATGGAACTCGCCCATTATTGTAATTTGAACATATGTACTTTGTACACTGTACAGAGATTTGAGTCCCAGTTGCCAATCTTATTTTTTATCCCATCAATATTTGAAAAAGGACTATACAGTATTAGTAAGAAAACTATAAGAAAAGTATTCCCCATTTTGACATATCTGCATACCAGATTTACCAATCAACATGCCGCCTGATTTTCCTGTTATTTCTGTTACACAGCTGCCCTATTTAAGGTGACACTAAACTCAGAAGTTAAATCTTAAAAATGCATTCAAGTACCTGAACTATTAACAAAATTGTATCTTATTTGTGGATCACTCGGCTGTAGATCCTCAAATGATCTCTGCATTGTTGCTGACACTGTCCTTCCTTCTGGAGGGTGGCTACTTTTGTTCCCCATGGTCCCTGTGTGTGTTGTAGAGTAGTCACTGCTCCAAGCTAATGTTTAATTTACTAATTTGTATTGAGATTGTAGTCCATCATGGGAGTGATCTTGGAGCGGTGGCTACTTTACAACACACTCAGGGACCATGGGGAACAAAAGTAGCCACCCTCCAGAAGCAAGGACAGTGTCAGCCTCATTTCAGAGATGATTTGAGGATCTACAGCCGAGTGATACACAAATAAGATAATTTTGCAAATTTTTGCTGATTTTTGTTAATAGTTAAAGGTACTTGAACACATTTTTAAGGTTAAACTCCTGAGTTTAGTGTCACTTTAAACAATAGTAAGGAGAAAACTTAAATTTTTAGGCCCATTTGCCCCCCAAATTCCTGTATGACTACCAGTAAGAAAGAACTGTCCTGCAGCCTATGGGTGGAATAAAGAGATCAATAGCTTCACATACTAGCAAGATCAGAATGTCTAAATTGTTCGGCGTTTACTAAATGGCAAAATGAATTGACAGCGTGCAATGAACACAGCCAAACGGTTTACCTCAAAAATATAGCAACGGAAGTATTTTAATATTCTCAGCATGCGGCATGAATTATATCCTAGAATATGTTTTTTTTCCAAGCCAGATCCACTTTAAAAGCAGGAGCAAGTTAGTGTGCACCTGCATCACGTTTAGCTCCATCCTGTGCTGAATGTGCAAAACAGGGACCACTGAACCCCAAAAGCAAGGCCATCTGAAATGGAGAAGCATCAAGAGGAGCATTCAAAAAAACATGTCCCGTTCACTTGTATCTGATGTCGGTGGTCTTCTGATTGGTCGCTGTTGAGATACAAAGTTCTAAAAGCAGACACTGATAAACAAGACCACTTTTAAGGATTCAAAGTAATTACAGGGCTCCTCACAGTACAGAACAAACCGTGGGAGTCCCAGAACTTAAGAATTGAGTTCTCTAACCAAGTATTTGCATGTGAATCTAGTTAGGATAGTTACACCATGTTCCTTTACGCAAGCACATTGTGAATATAAGCTACAATTTTTCTATTAGAAGGCCTCTGATGTTCCAGGTAATAAGACAATTAAGTCTGACTTGCAAGCACTTAAAAGCAAAACAATTGGCAGGCTGCGTAATATGCGCATATTAACTTATTGCACAACTTGTCTAATTCAGGCCTGCAGGATCCCCAATTACAATACCACGTACCAGATTAATGTTGTATGTTTTGCACGAGCGATCGTCTAGGCTTTGGTTCTGCAGCTTCTCGGTAATTAGTGTCACCATGTTAGTCCTCACGTCCCCGCTCCTCAGCCCCACAATCATCGATCCTCTGGTCTTAATACTGTCTGTTCATTTCAGTTCTTGTTGGAGTTGTACATCTTCGTTGAAGCGAGCGGCCTAGTTCATTTCAGTCCTGTAGCTCATGGTTCTTATCTAAAATACAAAGCAGGCCATGTTACATCACTCATTTAAACAGCCTGGGTAGGTCACTCATATCTAATTTAGAATGCACATTGGTTTTGGTCATGCAAAAAAGTTAAAAGCAATGATAGTGATGGACACAAGGCCTTGTGACTTATAAAAGACAGCAGAAGTGAAACAAGTTGTATGTGTTAAAGGGATTTTCAAGTCTACAAAAAACGCTGGTTATAACCAGCACGTTAGGCGCAATTCCAACTGGTCTGCATTTGCCACTATAGTTATCACTTATAACCGCCTGGAATGGAAGACCCCGTCCCAAGATTTTCAACATGGCCAACCATCCTATTCTGCACCACAAACTAAAATTGAGGAAAATATGGTGACTTAGTGGTTAGAACGGAGCACCTAATCAAGCTCCTCCATGGTCATGATCTGCCAGGCGTTTTGTATGTTTGCTGATTTGCATGAGATTTCTCTCAGCATCCAAGATCCTTTTCATACCAAGAAAAATGATTCTCAATGATAATAAACCTATGATAATTGTATAATGATACTGAACTTAGATGTACCAACTCAACCAACGCCAGGTCTATATAGACACCAATTAAGCATTTGATTCCAACTCTTGTCAAGCACACCTCCCTCCCACAATGCCAAGTGAATAGCTCAGTACACAAACCTAAAAATAGCATGCACCTTTGAACCACTGTTTAATGCCCCCCATCAAACCACCACCAAGTGCAGACACAGCACCACCCAAGTATAGATGCTCTGAATCAAAAGCCATCATTGGCTGCACTTAAGTAAGGGCTGGAGTAATCCCACAAACCAGGTACAGGCAGTCCCCGGGTTACAAAGATAGGTTCTGTAGGTTTGTTCTTAAGTTGAATTTGTATGTAAGTTTGAACAGGTACATTTTCTAGGTCCGCCAAAACATTTTTTTTTAGTTTTGGATAGCATAGAGAAGGGTAAACCCTGTTTTGCTGTTCTCACAGTCAGTGGCTCTAATCCCACACCATACTAACCAAAAATAAAAAAAATACAATTTGCATGGAGTTCTACTTTAAATGCAACTTGGACAGATGTTTGTACAATTTCCTGTAATGTATAGTACCAGACCCAGAAGAAGAGGCAGTCACTCCTCGTCTGCATGTCTACCTTTATGTAATGTACAAAAGGCAAAGTACTACGAACCAGACCCACTCCTCATCTGCACATCTAACAACTTCCTGTGATGTACAGGAGGTACAGTACTACGAACGTCGACGCGAGCACGGCAGCATTACAACTGGTGGAACAGCCTGGGACTTCCGATCGTAAGTAGGAGTCGTACACAACTCAGATGTTCGTAACTCGGGGGCTGCTTGTAGTCAATGCTCCTTGAAGGAGAACTATGAGGTAAGTGTTTTTCCCCATAGTTCTCTACAGCTTGCGGTATACTGAGACCGCCGCAGCCGGGACGGATCCCGACATTACTGTCGAGATCCATCCAGCTGCGTGATTGACAGCTGGCTCTGCCTATCTAGAGGCAGAGCCAGCTGTACCCGCCCCCTCCCCCATTCGTTCCTCCAGTCAGCACTTGAGGATCGGAGCAGGGAGGGGGGAATCCCTGCAGGGAGCCGTGAGTGACAGTCACGGCTCTCTGCGGGGACATGATCGAGAAGTGAGCGAGCGACGGTATGTGTTCGCTCACTTCCCGATCTACTGAGCCGATGTGTGACAGTTTCATTGTCACACATGGGCTCGAACTATGATGTTGAGTAAAAATCACTCACCTCATAGTTTTGCTTTAAATATAATAGCTGGTGCCTAATTTTTGTGGTTTTCTCACTGTCATCACTGGAGCTAGCTCCTAATAACAAATCCTGCCGGCTCCTGGATTGCGCAGATTGGCTCCTGAATTCCAAATTAATTTGTCCACCCCTAACTTAAGTGCACCTGAATATTACATATAAATGTTGTTGACTACAGGCCCAAGGCAGTCACACAGACAGTATTAAAACGACAGGTTCTAACACTTCTACAGAAAAAAGAATACATTTGGCTCATGTTCCATTTCCAAGCATTGGATTTTGACATGTAGAAAAACCAGTGCAGAAATATGAAATCTTGCACAATAGGTATGCATAACAATTTCATGCTAGCTGTGGTGAGATTAAACATATGCACATTGCAAAATCATACATTGAGGATGTCTGTAAACATGGTTTAATATATGGCTGCAGTGCCTCCCACCTTTTACAGCCACATATCTATATGCCGGTCTATAAATTATTGAAGAACAACAACCCTGACCTGAAAAAATCTTACCGTTTACAAAAAGGAAGCACAGCATGTATATGTAATGAACAAAAACCAGATACTTACATGATACAATTACATAATAGCCATCTGGGCCCATTAATGGACACGGGCTAGTCAGCTGCAGAGACTGAAATGGGCATCCCGTACATTTAGAGGGACTGTCACTCTATTGGGACTAAATCCCTCTGCCCTTATTTCTTTCTCAGTTGTCCCCCTTTCTGGTCTGATCTATAGACTGAATGCAAATTTCATGACGGTTAGCAGGGAACTGTTTGGGTTTCCCAGTTAGGAGAGCTAGACTGTATTGGACACTAGGCTAGGTTCACAGCTAGATGACACCTCACCGAGTGGCAATCATGGATGAATCCGCGCGGTCAGGAGTCACCAAGGTGTGAACCGATCGCGCTGTGGGTACCATTATTTTCTAACGGCACCCCAGTCCCGCCGAGCGGATAGCGCGGTTTCCCCCTTGCTTCCGAACACAAAAAACAGCCGCGCGCTGTGTATCTAAAAAATAAAAAGGAACATGTAAATTTTTTCTGTGATTGCCGTGTGTATGTCATACCACTGAAATCAATGGGGCTGCGCAGCAATCACTGCGTGCACCTGAACACTATCGGGATGCGCGTCCCAGGTGTCGTATAGGTGTGAACCTAGCCTTAGCCTACAAAAAAATGTTTTTTGCATAAGGTTAGTGTGTTAAAGAAACTGAAAGAATGATATTCTCAGCCTAATGGCTCAATGAGTTCACCCAGTGTTCCAGAGATGAGAAGAACCGACTACCATAATAAGGCAAAGAGCCATGTTCAATAGCTACCAGTCAGCAAAAAACCTTTTCTGATCTGACTTCGGCAAAGTGGTATCAGATTGGCCGCTATAAGATGCTGCACTCTGCACATTATCACTGCTCTTTGTACTGCTTTACTGAACAACTCATAAGTTTAAGGTCACGGCAAAATCCCGTGCCAAGAAAATACACAGGACCTCCGACAGCTGATGCCCACAGTTCCCCAAAATTTAGTGACATTCAAATGGACAAAGGACATCTTTCATTTCAGCAATTCACAGCCAGGAAAAACGATTTTAGGCAGACATCATTTCGGTGGATTCCATGGAAAAAGTGATATATTCTTCAAAATAGCAGCAGTAATTGTCAAACGCCAATTTTAACATTCACCCCAGGCAGCCGGCTAGGTAATTAGTACATCTCTTACATTAGTTTCTCATGGCAAGACGACATTAATTGTAGGTCAGCCAGGGTGGCTGTCCTCATCCTTTCTCAGTACACCAGGCAAACAAAAACCACAGTATATGTATGGAAGATAAGGTTACTATACATTAACAGACTTATCTACCTAAGTATCTATAGAAGGTTTTGCCGACATGTATGCTTGCTATAGATTTTCACACTGGTTATTCTGTTTAAGAATACTTCAAGGTCAGTTTAAAGGAAACGGACATTCCCTTGTTTGATTAGGTAACCGTGACAAGAAGGGGCTTCCATCTCTCAAGGCTCACATGTAACCGGGCAAGTTTTCTAGGTGGACTGGACCTGGCTAGTGCAATTAGATTGTTTCCATATATTTTATCATATTTTAGAGTCAGGACACAATGGCAGGTTTCCCCGGCAGGTGGTGGTGCAAGGGAAATCTGCAATACGTTGCAGGTGGTGGTGCAAGGGAAATCTGCAATATGTTGCAGGTGGTGGTGTAAGGGAAATCTGCAATACCTTGGGAAATCTTTTCTTTGCAACTAAAGTGCATTTCCAGGCAAAACAATTTTCTTTTTAGTTTTGGAATGGGGAAGGGTAAGACCCTGTGTCAAGTTTTTAATGCTGCCTGTGCCTTTACAGGAGAGATGTACCCCTTTATCTGTCCTGGTGACTATTGTGATAGAGAAAGAAATTAAGGGGAAATCCAAAATTATAGAGTTGTCCTCAAAACAAGGAAATTGGGGACAACTATCTAAGGTGCATTTCCCTCACTTTGGGAGATTTCCTCCAACCCTAGGACAGAAAGAGAAGGCAAATGTCCCTCATTGTTGTACAAATGACAGTGGTTAACCCTTCCTTACTCTAACAAATCGTAAAAAAAAAGGCTTGGCTATGCAGACATTTTAAATGAAAAAAACAGTAACCCAGGAGGGCTCAGTGTATACAAACTTTAGGCAACAACACTAATGGTCCCTATGTGGGAAGAACAATATGAAATACACATTGGCTTTCTTTCCTCCACAGAAGATGCCAGCCAAGGCCAATGACAGTAAGGAGGGCTCTGCCCTTTTTGAAATGACTCGGAGGGCCCATGTTGTCTGACTGCTTTGAACCCTAAGGAATTAATACAACCCAAGAGCTTCCTTTAAAGTGAACTTGTCAGCCATTTTAAAGTACAAAAGTCACCCATAAGCACATACACATGATGCTTGTTATTGCCGGTTATTGGTTCTAGCAGTAGAGTAACTTCTACATGCAAATCTAGGAGAAAAATCCATGTTACCCAGAACACACTACTGCATGCTGCCTCTCTGAAGCTAGGTAAACTTTTCTGAAACATCCCAACCACCACCCTTCTGTCCACAGAGTCTCAGTGGTCAATGACTGCGTGCTCGTTGGACAGCAAAGTGGTATCTAGCAGGGGGTTTACTTCTGAAGTCCCTACTAACAATGAGGAACACAGAAGCAGGCTTTCTACTGAACAAAAGGCACCAAT